GCCTTTGGCAGGCAAGCCTGAATCTGTCCTGAGGGCCCAAATCTGCAGTGCCCCTATTTGAAAAGCTAGACTGCCCTCCAGAGCGGAGGCTGCTTTCGGTCTGAACAGTCGTGGCACCAGGATTAGTATCTCCCCCACTTTGTGGACGTGAGGAACAGCTAGAATTGCTCGAGGCTGCAGCCTAGGGCCTCTGCGGCAGGGCTGGTGACTGGCTGACTGCCAAGGTAGCTTGTGTTTTGCCTGTTTTCACACACATGTGAATATAATGAATGTACCGAGGTGTAAGGAGCTTGAAATAAACACCTAGGTGCTCTTGCCATGGGTTTTTGTTCCCCTTTTTCCCTGTCCAGACGAAAAACGTTGTTTTCTAAAACTGAGTCTATAAATTCGTTGCAATATTCCTGATAGATCAAACACAGAATACAATACATACTGTAAATGCTTGCATGGTGCTTATTTTATTTTATTTTTCATTTTGCTTATATTCTGGAAGAACAAAAAATAAAAATCCTGAGGGACCATGTAAATGTAATGACTGCTGAATAGTCCCAGTATTAGACTTTAAAAATGTGTAATTACGAAAATGCCAGTGTCATTTACATAACAGCCTACTGCACGTTGTGAACAAAATGAACCTGAATGCTGCAAGCCTGAAACCAAATGAAATGGTTCAGTCACCCAAGCTGATTGTAAGGGGATAACCTAAATATGTTGGAGTTTCCAGGGTTTGTTTAGACATGGCCAAGTCCTTAGGATGAAAGTTAGAAGTTAAATGTGTTGTATTAACACCAGACTTGTCAGGTTTTCCAGGAGCACGCAGCTGTTCTTGGGTATTGCTGCAATCACATTTTGCAGATGTGATCCCAAGCGGTGCACTGATGTGGTGTGATAGCTCTGCCTGTTGGCCTGTGTTTTGGCTGACTTGTTACTGCATCTTCCTCTGCAGTTAATGCTGCCAGCGATAAAAGAACAGCAATTGCCATCCTGTGAAAACAGAGAATGCTCAGCAAAACCTTCAAAGCGCGGGGCCGCTGGTTCGTGGGGATTAGCTGTGTTGACGTTAAGGGGAGAGTTTCAGCTCAGTCTGATTTCTGTGATCGGGCTGAATAACAAACTGTCTGGTCACACTCAGCAAAAGTCTGAACTGTGCAGGCCTGAATGCAAACTTCAGGTTTAAGAGAAATGGGAAAACTTTCCTCTCTTCCTCATATTTGCCCAGAGTCCAGGTCTCCTGTCTTCTGTTGCCAGTTGTGGTACTGACTGTATGTGAGATTTTAATATCACTATCCAGAATTGATTTTTAAATGAGATTTTAGTCTCCTGGAGACTTAACTGTGCATGTCTGATTGGGCCACGTGGCTGCTTTCCCCGGATACCAGTCAGTGTTTTAAGCCATATTCTTGGCTGGAGTAAAGCAGTGTTTTGTACTCAGTCGCACTGGTGGGAGTTCTGCCTGGCTCTGGTGGTTGCTCATAGGCACCATTCAGACAACACGACTGACTTAGCAGTGTCTGGGGAGACCTGCTGTTTTCTAACCAGTTGCTTCCCAATGTAGTCTGTTATTAAAAGATTTTGCACTGTGTCGAGCCTTCCATGTCTTGCTTTATTTAGGCTAAGAACTAGAGCTTTTGGAGTGACTTTATAGGAGTAACTTTATCCATTCAGTGGAGACTGAAGTTGAGGGTCCCTCCAGATCATCACAAGAAAGGATCTCCTGCCTCAAGTGATGCCATTCCATTTATTTACTTCCGGTTCTATTTTACTGATATCATGAGCAGCTTATTGTTGAAAACTATTAACTGAATGTTTTTCTGTCTTTTAAGGAGCAAAATTTATTGTCCTGACTTCACAAGTACTTCTGCAAAATCAGAGGTGAAAGAATGCAATTTGCAGAGGAATCTGTCTTATGAGTGCACATTTCGGCCTATTTTTCTTTTATCTGGTTATATTATGTGGATAGAATTTAAACACCCACTAGGAACTCTTGAATCTTCACCAACTTGTATCATTCCAGCAGATGTAGGTATGCAAGATTTCTGTACCTTTTTCTTCACTTGTGACCTTGGATTTTGTTGTTTTCTTACAGTATATATAAGTACTTCATAGTCTTTTGTATAAATCGGGCTGTGGAAATAACACAAAAACATCAGAGTTTCAGTATTGTCTTCTGAAAAGCATTGGGCTAAGTCATCTTTCCATACATTTTGCTTGGCACAGGACCAGATTAACTGCAGCTACTACCTATAGAATGAAACCAGTTTTGTATGTTTATCCTCTTGATTCTTTTTCAGAGACATCTACAGAAAATGCAAGTACTGTATTAAATACCAGGATTTTTATCTTGTTTTTAAGATTCTTGATTATCTGTTTTTTTATAAATCTTCAATTATGAGATTAACTTTAGTGTTTTGATGGCATGTAAAGTGCTATGCATTGCTGTAAACACTTGTATATTCTTTTTTTAATCACAGGAACAGTTTGTGTACTTGCATGCTTTTCCAAAACTACTTTTGCAACACTTAGAGCATTTACTTAGTTTTTTTTTATAGAAGATAACTGCAAAAACAGTTTGAGAATTGTAAATATGGAAAGCGAGTCTTTTTGGTCCGTGGCCTACAGCACTCACTGAACAGTTAGATATATTACTAGACACAAGTATGAATGTGCATGGAAAGAAAACACTGCAGCTTTGGCTTCATATATCTTCTGAAAAAAAATATATTCTCACATCCATTCACAAAGAGGAAATGACTGTTTGCCACCCAGTTTAATATTTGTAATAGCTATTTCCTTATATATTATAGCTAGACCACAAAAGTGCGGCATGAAGCAAAGCAGAATAAAACATGTGTGTTATGTGCGTGGGGGAAAGTATGCACATAGAGAATATATATACTTATAGTGGGCAAAAATGACTTTTACAGGAAGGAAAGAGAAAGCTCTGTGCACTGTGGCTCCTTGGGGCTTGGGTTGTAGTGTTTGTGAGTGCGCTTGGCCTTCTGGTTTTCAAAGTTTCTTCATGTGCTGGTTAGCATAATCAGTATAAAAGCATACGTAATGGAGACCGTATTCCAGCTGCTCCTGCCTCGTTTTGATATTTCAACTTAAATTTTTTAGTAGTTTTGCTTGGGGCCAAAATCGGGCTGCACTTCCCATGAGACAAACACTCACTTGCTCAGTCAGCAACAGTTTTGTCTGCAGTGAATGGACAGGCCAGCCTGGATTGGCAAATTGTTGTTTTTGTAGCATAGGGTGGCTTTATTCAGAGTATCAAAGGCCTAGTATGACCAGGGACCCCTGGGGCAGAGAAAGTGAATCAAATCATCGTGGTTTAATGAAAAATGTCTGTGTAGATATTACAATATTTCTGTTTCTTTCCATTTTTCTAGTGAAGCCACTTCCTCCCTCTGATGTTAAGGCAGAAATCACCAGGAATGTTGGGCTGCTGAATGTGAGCTGGACCAACCCTGTATTTACAAACAACGATCTTCAATTTCAAATTCGGTATGCTGAGAATAGAGAAGAGATTACATGGCAGGTACTGTCCTTTTTGATCCAGGTCAAAGTATGAATTATTGCAATGTTTAGCCTGTTAGCTGGAATTTGTAGAATTTGTTGTATATGAGGAATTGTAAGCATAGGTATTACTTGGTGACGCAATATTACTGATTAGGCCACTTTCTAATCCAGTGAATCCAACGAGGATTCATTTCCAGGAGTTATAACAGATGCCTAAAGAATCTTTTGTTCTTATGCTGCGTATTTTCCTTTCTTTTACAGTTGTATGAAGTTTCAGATGCCCCGACAAGATCAGCTGTGCTACACGTGCAGCAGCCGTGTGTTGAGTATGTGGTTGAGGTGCGCTGCAGAGCGCCGGATGGAGCGGGGTACTGGAGCGCCTGGAGCCGGGCAGCCTACGCGCTCGTCAGGGATATCAGAGGTACATGTGCTTTTGCATCCACTCTGACAGCTCTAGCTCTGTCCGCTTGCAGACTGAGATGTGACAGTTTTTCTTCTAAAACTGTGTAATCCTGCAGCTCCCCTCCAAGGCCCTGAGTTTTGGAGAATTATTACTGAAGATCCTGCAAGGAGGCAGAGGAATGTTACGCTTGTGTGGAAGGTGGGAGCAACGACGTTTCGGTCTTTCTGTAATACATGTTCTCACTTGGAGATGTGTGATCCAAGCATTGGCAGTTACCCACATGGGAGCCATCACTCACATGCTGCTGGGAAGGCAAACGTGGGCAGTCCGTGTTCCTGGACCTGGTGTGCAACATATTTGGTGCAGCTTCGTCCGTGTTGCTGCCTCGTCCTTGGCTGACAGGGTTTGCTGGAGAAGGCTGGTTGTGATGCTGTGGCACAACAGGGAGATGGCTCAGACTGCTTCTTGTGCTCAGCCTGCCTTGTTCTTTACTCTCTGCTGTTGCTTTTTTTTCTTCCCCTTTCTTCTGTTTTCATGCTCCTTGTTTCCAGCTAGCTGGACACATCTGGCTGATTTTGCCCCCTACTCATTACCAAGGGTGTAGTCATGTCATAGCACAGAGCCTTCCCTGCTGCTGGGTGTGTGAGAGGTCAGTGGGGCTCAGCTCAGTCATTCCCGAGCAGCAGGCACGTCCCCCGGCTTCAGGTGCTCAGCCCTGAGCTTACTGGGGGGGTTGACTTTCATAGTCAGGAGGTCCATCTGAGAGCCTGGTCAGGCTGTTCTTGCTGGGGTGCAGTTGCATAGCCCCCAGCTGGGGGGAACTGCATGTGGGCTGGCTCCACAGCCACTCCTGTTTTCTTACCTCACTATTCCTGCAGTTTCACAATCCTCAGTACTTGTGAAAAGCCTGAACATCTCTGGCAGATTGGAATCCTGCTTGTGTGCAGCCAGACCAGCTGCCTTCAGATGCACTGACACAGCTAACGTGCCAGAGCTGTGCTGTATGTTTGGGTAAGCCTACACTCTGAGTAGGCAAGTGAAGCAGCCTCACAAAAACTTAAAATGCAGTTTGTCCTAGCGTTCGGGGGGAAGAATAACCTGAAAACAACTACTAAAATACAGTGAAAGATGCCACGTTCAGCTGGCCAAGGTGGCAGAACGTGCCCGAAGCCCTGGCCTGCTGCCTGTGCATGCAGCACTGTGACTGCATGGGAGCAGGGCAAAGCCCAGGTAAAAGGTTACATGCAGTAAAAGTGCAGCAGTGCCTGGCCACCCCTGTGTGCCCATGTGCAGGCAACCCCACGTGCAAGATGCTCAGCAGCTCTGGTTTTTCAGTCCTGAAAAATATTAACATAAAACAGTGAGTTGCCACAGGAGCCTGACAATTAATACTTCCTGGTTTTCCACCTCCCTGTCCTCAGCAACGCACACAGACTGGGGGGAGAGCAAGTAGGGGTCAGGTTTCAGGGAGGAGAAGAAATTAAGCTTTTAAATCGACTGCAGTGTCCTTGCTAAAAGGGCAGTAGTCAAGTCTGGTGAATATCTTATCTTTTTTTTTTTTTTTTTTCTGGGGGGGACAGTTAATGTGTGTCATGTTTTCTTAAAACTGGAAAACTGCCATCTTCTGCCCAAATGATGTTTCTTCTTGAAATCAAAGATTGGGAAGTTAATTAGTGCCAATGTTTGCTGCAGCCTCTGATGAAGAATCACTCCCTGTGCAGCGTGAGCCGATATGTTATAAAGCACCAGACCTCAGGAAACACTACGTGGTCAGAATACGTTGATAATGGCACTACCTATTCATTTCCATGGACTGAACACACACATACCATCACGGTCTTAGCCATGAATTCAATTGGAGTGTCTTCAATTAATTTTAATTTGACTCTATCCCAGCAAATGAGCACAGGTAAGAACACCGGTTAGTTACCATTTTGACATGTCCAAAATGTAAAGAATTTTTGTGATGCTTTTGGATGTAGCTTTCTTTGTAATAAAACTCCCTCGGTTAGAAGATGGAAATATTTTATAATGATATCTTCAGCTGTATAGGGGAAACAGCTTCTGTATCTCACCAGCAGAGCTATTTGAAAAATGAAATTTCCATCCCATGATAATCATAATGATCTTTGGTTTGGGAAAAGATTTGTGCTTAACTGAGATTCTTCTCTTCACTAGCAGAATATAAAGTAATTAATCAAGGAAAAATAAAACCTTCCTGCAGAACTGATCTGAC